ACATTAAAATAAATCTCTTAATAAAGAGGTATCTTTCCTTTAAGACTACATTTAATATTAACCAATTTGTATCTCAGCCTAAAATACTTGTAAAGAAACGATCACACTCTCCAAAAATCTCTGTGACCCATAGAATAAACTGCAAGTCACTTTGCTATTCACAACATCCTTCACAATGTGGAACTAGCCACTGTCTTCGGCGTTATCTTCTTATATTCCCGGGAAACATAGTTAAGTGGTGGGTTTTTGTATTTAATGCATTCAGTCTTTCTCATTATTTTCATGTCACTGGCCTTTCTGACCCTTCACAACAGTATGCCAAGAAAATTGTAGCAACTCCACCTTCTATACCAGGTCCCCATGTGTCCAAGCTTCATGGAGCTGTCCCCACAGAGTTTTAGGACTAAATTTATGTTCCCTTGCCAAAAATATTGAGTCCCAAGTCATTATTGAGGGCATCCACGTCAATAAATTCTCCATGTCCAAGTTAAGAGAACTCCTTGATTTACCACACTCACGACCCATTTCCAGCATGTTCTCTTATTCCCACAGATATGTTAACAATATGTGCCAATACTAGCATGAAGCTATTTTCTCTCGGAACAGACGGTACTTATACCTGGACTGAGCTGTGCTTAATTAAACCCTGTCCTGAAGCAGTGCGAAGTGGCAGGACATATCGTGAGGAGAGCGGATGCTAACCTGCCCCGGACTGACTAACTGAACAGTGTCTGGGGGTAGGGAGGTTCTTCTGTTCTTTTGAGGGGTAGGGACCTGCCCTTGGGGTCCTGAACCTTCCATGGAATCTGGAGGTTCCAAATGTTCAGCCTCATCCACCTGAATATCTCTATTTCAGGTCTGGGGGTTCAATCTCTTTATGTCAGGGCCATGATTTTAACACAATGGCTCTGTCAGTTACTACCCTGTCCTGTATTATCTTCCTCTCAACTGAATCATTTCAATTTGCGTGCACTCACTGTATCATCCAGTTTAAAAACAGAACCAATGCAAACACTAAAATTTTACCTTGTTTTCACATTCCATTCTCTACTCTGCTTAATAACAAAATTTACTTAAATACTATATTTTTAGTATGCCTCTGCTTCACATTTTTTCCTTTAACCTTCCCTACTGAACCTAGCTTCTACTCCTAGAGTTCGCTAACATTGCTTTTGTTAGGGTCACCATTTACAGTCACTTCTCCACTAACAATGAGGTTACATCCTGATAAACCCATCATTAGATGAAATGCATTTAGTGTACCTCACATCCCCAAAATCACAGCTTAGCCTACCTTAAATGTAGTCAGAACACTTACATTAGCCCATTAGCCTACAGGTGGGCAATTATCTTGAGTTTTATTTCAAGAGTAATTGCCTTCCCCTCCTCACCAGAAACAGGGGACATGCGTGGGTGTGTTGTAGACCTAATGGGTTGTGAAAATACAAGACACAATACCCAAGGACCATGGGCAACCTAGCACACTGTAGGCAGGAGTAGCAAACTCATCTTCACCGGGGGCCACATCAGCCTCGCAGTTGCCTTCGAAGGGCCTAATGTCATTTTAGGAGTGTAAATGGAACTACTCCTTAACAGTGAAGTGAGAGCTCAGCACTGCCACCAAGTGGAAACAAGGTGCTGGATAGAATAAAACAAGGTGGAGGGCTGGACTGGGCCCCGTGGGCCTTGTGTTTGTGACCTGTGCCGTAGGGTAGGTACTGCTTGTTTATCATGTGGCAGCCTGGGAGGTGCTGCCCGGCATCGTGAGAAAGTACTGTATCGCTAGGAAAGGATCAAAAAATCAAAATTTGAAGTATGGTTTCTGCTTAAAACAAAGAGCTTCCACACCATTGTAAAGTCAAAAAAAACATAAACTGAACCACCTTAGGCTGAAGTCTGTGTATATTCATGCTGCCAAGTCCAGGGGTAATTTTGCTGTATCAGTTTTACTGTTTCGCTCAGCAGCATTTGAAAGTTGACCTTTCTCTCCTTGTAACACAATGACATCTTTTATTTCCATTTCACCACACTTCCCTCGCTTTACTCCTTTTGTCTTAGGAGCTCTTTCTTGTTTCCCTTTTGCTGATATTTTTCTCCTCAATTTTGCTTCTAAGGATTTGAACACCTCAGGGCTCAGATCTGGTGTTACTTCCCTCTATATATTGTTTCAGTAACCCCATTTATGTGTTGATGACTTCCAAATTTATATCTCTTTTCTCTACACTTAGTTACATATTTATACATTCAATGATCTATTTGACATTTTCACTTGGTTATTTCATAGATCTCTCAAACATATATGTAAAAAGTAGAATTTTTATTTCTATTTTCCTACCCCTCAATTAAGATAGTTTCTTCTCAACCGTAGGTAGCATTGTACTTCCAATTTCTAAAGTAAAAACCATATAAAAGTTGTTTTTAGTTTCCTTTTTCTTTAATTCCCTGCCTTCCTCTGATCAATTAATAAGACCTACTAGTTTTACCCACACAACATATAGAATGCACCCATTAAAAAATTCCCTAACTCTATTGCCACTGATCAAATTAGCCACCATGATTTCTCATAAACACTACTTACTCTAGTAAAGTACCAGATAGTCCCCTTAATCATAGTTCTCCCTACCCCCAACACATAAAATATCCATTCTTCTTATTGCCAAAATGAACTTAAATCTGCATGCAGACCAAACTATGTTGTGCGTGGCTTCAGTTCCTTTCATGTCTTCAGATTGAATTTAAATATAAATTCCCTCTCGTGACCTACAGGCCTTTCATGATCTTGCAAGCCACCCTTTGCTCACCATGCTTCAGTCACTCAGACCTATTGTTCTTCCTCAGACGTCTATTCCTCAGGGCACTGGCATTGGCTTTGCTTCCCTTTGGGAATTATATCTGTCCATAATATTGATTGCATGGCTGGGTTATATTTGTGATTCAAGTCTCAGCTTGAAATCCTGCTTCCTTAGGTAGGTCTATCCTGACTATGCCGTTTAAAGCTACCCCTCATTTCCAGTTGTTCTCAGTCACATTACTCATGCCTTGTAACTATTTGGTTCTTTCCTTGACCGTTATCTCTCTTCCACAACTTTTCCAGAGCTGTACACGAAAGCCTGGACTTAGCCACATTTTATTTATACTTTAAGCACTCAGTATGGTGCCTAACATTCAGACATTTAATGTATGAGTGAATGTCTATTAATTAAATAAGGATTTTAAAAACAGAGATTAATCTGCCTGCATTCTCTGTAACCCTTTAATTACATTCTCTTAGAGAAAGCTTGAAAATTCTACTCCAAACACTGACAATAAAAGAAACAGTATACATGCTCCCTTCAACCTTAAGTGAATCATTTTTGCATGATTTCTCAAAATTAATAAAATCTCAGAAGATACACCACTTAACTGGCTGTATCACTTTCATCCCAGATTGCCAATAAAAAGAATTGTATATAGTAAGAGTTCTTTGATATGGCTTCTCTTTCTACCTCAGCATCCCTTACCTGGCTGCAGTCTGCAGAGAACCTGAATGTTGAGTCGCTATGTTTGTAATGTAAATCGATAATCAAGTTTCTATAGTTCACAACATGAAGACATTAAATATGGAGCTTTCAGGATTCCCATTAGCCTTATGGTTCTTCTGTTCCCATGCCTAACAAATCCACATAAACTGGCCTCTGCTTAGCTGTGGAGCACATAGTTATTCTCTGAGACATTATTTAAAAGAACTAAGTTTCAGTCTAGGCGCCTAAGTTTCCACTGTTTCTTTAACTTACAGGGCACTTAGTAAATGCTTTTAAATTTATCGGTTTAATCAATGTGTATCTTTTGCACTGTCAGATTCAGAGAAGAAAAGTTAGCTTAGGAAACTTAACATATGAAGTATAAAAGTAATTTCGGTTTTTACCAACTTTATTGATCAACATATTTATAAACATTTCCTCTGCACACAAAGCCCACAGCAGCTCTAAGCTGGTTAGTAACAGAGTCAGTCACTAGAAAATATCTGTGTCACAGCATAAATGATGTGCTTTTGATAGAATTTCCCAAATGGATATCTCATAGATGACATGTAAAATCCAAATAATATCCTCCTGGTGTACAGAGGTGGTCTGTATTGAATCAATGTCTCCTTTGATATTTTGACATTTTCTCAACTCAAAACATAAGTTTTTTATGGAAGGTCTCATTTTATCAGGGTATCTTGACCATTAGTGCTTGGCGTAGTCCTAGTTTGCTAAAAGCAAATTTACACATGTCTTTCATATAAGAAATATTTTCAATAAGCAATGAATAGTTCTTTAGGCTCCTTGTTTAGCCATCTTTATTTTATAGAAATTTTCTACATAAACTGCCCTTTCCTCATGCTTACAGAGTGTCTTTTTTTTTCATTAATCTATGATCCTAAAATAATTTCTGAATCCCCTGTGACAATATGTATTTTAATCACAATTTATGTTTTATTTATTATTATAATCAGTATTAATCCCTTCTATATTCATAGAATTGCATAGCATTTTATTAAGAACTGTGACCTTATTGAGTCTTTTCCAAAGGTGGAGCTCAGTTGGATGATCTGAGAACAATCTAGCTGGATCCACTTTCATAGGGATGCAAATAACAGCAAGATGCTATTACAGTTGTTCTGAATTAGTCATACAATTTGCCTCTGGAGAAATGATTTAGAACTAACTATGAAAATATTTTCTCCTCACACAGTGAATAATATTAGGATATTACTGTCTACCTGTTCTAAAACATGTTAAAAAAAACTCTGATGGGAGGGAGAGAGAAAAGCTGAACAAAGAGGGAGACACAAAAGGGGAAATAGAGAGATAAAGAGACAAAATAAGCTCTACCTGAGATTTCCTAAATCGTAAATATACAAATACATTTTAAGGCAACCACAAGAAACCAACATTAAAGTAAGAAGTGAAGGTAATTAAAGATTTTCTTCCTCTGTCCTAGAAAATGATAGTTTATCTTCAGATCTGTGTATGTTGTCAGAAATTTCTTCTTTTTAGCGCATGCGCTACTTTACATAGCACCTTTCGAGATGCTTGTCTTAATTTATTGTTCCCCAGAATTAAGATAAATGAATGGCTTGAGGGGTAGATTAGAGCTACCAACTCACCAATCTTCACAGCTAACTCAGTCTCTGGAATGAAATAACTGGACGTGGCTACGAGAAAGGACAGAGAGTAGACGATGAACAGGAGGAGGAAGGAGACGACAGCTTTCAGGGCTCCCACATGGGCGTCTGTGCTGGGGTCTCTGCAACCTGTGGTGTTGAGCCGCATCTGCCTGATGTGTCCCCATAGGGAGAGGATCAAGAGGAGAAAGGAGACCAGGGACACAGAAAAGGGGAACAGCGTCAACAGGTTGAGCAATACCTTGATGGAAGCATATTGAGTTTTATTTTCACAGCATCTTAAAGTTAAGTTTCTTTTCACCTTTGTCTTGACACAAAGCCTGAAATCATCATTCAAATTCTCAGTGACAGGAAGGCTAATAAACAGAGACAGGGCTGAGCATACCAGCAAGATCCCAGGAATCACCCCGTTGATTCTCCACTTCATCCAGAGGAAAAATGGATGGCAGAAATTAGCTATCTTGAAGAAATAGAAAATGCTGAGGCAGGTGGCAAACCAGACGCTGACATGGTTGGTTAGTGTCCAGAAGAAGTCGATGATTCTCATTTGTTTACCAGTGGCATAGATATCGGGGTACAGCACCAATATAAAATAATCTAATAGTATTACACACAACAGACAAATTCTGGATATGGCCAGACTTGTAAGGATTAAATCAATGGGAGCAATCTTCTTATTCTTGATCCAGTCCATGCAATTTACCAGTCCAATAAATGCATTTCCTAAAATCCCCACAGAAAACTCTCCAACTACTATGATCATTAAGGTGCTGTTTGCCTCACCCGACATGTTAAAACAGAGAAATATCCAACTTGTGTCTATTTGGACTGGTGTAGTATGATATCTATACCTACGTCTTAGATTTTGCTGTTATTTTCTTCACTCTTTTATTGTTGTCTCTGTCTTATGATGGAGACTGGAATGGCAAATGAGGATTGAAGCTCTCTTCATTAAATCCTAATTAGTCTTGATGAACAATGTTGTTAGCAAATCCTTACCTGGTTGTTGTATGTTCATTTACCTGCCCAGCAAGGTTTACTTTTCCACATACCATTAATTTAAACTGCAGTTTGCTGAGATGCAAATTAGGACAATTCCCTTTCATGAATCCACACTGTCTCAGGTTACATTTTGCAAATTTTGGATTTATTAGTCTGTGCTGCATGCTAGTAACCTCAACAGGCACGCCAGATTTACCAAATAAAAACACAGACACCCAGCTCAATTTGAACTACAAATACAATAATAAATACAAGGTCTGGCAGAAGTAAGGCCTGCTTGAATGTCCGGTAGGGTAATATGGCTATAATAATTTTCTAGTTTTAATTTGAACATTTTGCCTAAAATGTCATATGGTATGCTTGAGTGTGACATTGTTATGTTAAAGAATTACATGCTTATGATTTTGTAATAAACACTTTGTAATAAAAATGGGCATTATTTGGGCCAGACCCTGCATTTTTTAGTGTGTGTCCCAAATACATGGCATAACTACTTCCAAGAGGTTTTGAAATTCAAATTTAATTGAATGTTGTGCATTTTATCTGGCAAGCCTAAACCTCAGGCATTTCTGGCAGTTAGAAAATGGTCAAAAGTTGAAATTTGTAGAGAATTCTTCATTTTGTTGAATAATAGTATTAATTACTGCTACAAATCCAAAGTTTGGTTTAACATTGAGACCTATATTCTTTCAGGAATTTAAAAGGTTAACACTAAATATAAATTACTTGGTTCTAAAAAAATTTAGCTCATTTTATCTTTGTTGTTCAGATGAAAATTTATATGGCACAATGTCTCTTAAATTAATGATTTGTCTTATTAATTAAGTGACATTTAATGGTCATTTAGTTTGTGTATATGACAAACCACATATATATGAAGGCAAAAGAACCATAATAAAGAAGAGTATTGATTACCTTTAGATTTCTCCTTTTCATTTAAAATGTTCCCAAGGGCAGTTGTATAGACAAGAGGGAAGAGAGTAAAATCCTGGGTTCCATTCAACTCTCCACCCTCCTCCCTACCAAATAGCATCTGAGTATCTAGATTCTTAACCCTTCTAACCCATTAAGCTGGAGACTGATGATTACATTTATCTCATTTCTACAAACTAACACTTGTTTTGAAATAGCTTCTCTAATTCAAGTTGCTAAGAAGCACTTTACTACCTAGCATTTTTATGGAACAATTCTGGGGTACTTATACCTTCTTTGGGAATGCAATTCTCTCAAACTTTCTTTTTTTTCTTTTTTGTTTTTTTTATTCTTGTTTATTACATTTGCCCCAAATTTTGCCCTCTTTCCTCCTCTGTCCAGCTGCCACCCCAGAGTACACAGTCTGTCCCCACACCATTGTCCATGTCCATGGGTCATTCATACAAGTTCCTTGACTAATCCCTTCCCATTCTTTCCATCATCCCTTCCCTCCTCCCTTTCCTCTGGCATCTGTCAGTCTCTTCCATATTTCCATGTCTCTGGTTCTATTTTGCTTGCTTGTTTGTTTTGTTGAGTAGGTTCCACTTAAAGGTGAGATCATATGGTATTTGTCTTTCACAACCTGGCTTATTTCACTTAGCATAATGCTCTCCAGTTCCAGCCATGCTGTCATAAAAGGTAGGAGTTCCTTCTTTCTTTCTGCTGCATAGTATTCCATTGCATAAATGTACCACAGTTTTTGGATCCACTCATTTACTGATGGGCACTTGGACTGTTTTCAGCATTTGGCTATTGTAAACAAGGCTACTATGAACATAAGAGTGCATAAATTCTTTTGAACTGGCATTTCTGCATTTTTAGGCTACAATCCCAGCAGAATGGCTGAGTCAAAAGGCAGTTCTGTTTTTAGTTTTTTGAGGAAATTCCAAACTGTTTTCCACAGTGTTTGCACCAGTCTGTATTCCCACCAACAGTGCACTGGGGTTCCCTTTTTCCCACATCCTTACCCACACTTGTTGTTTGTTGATGACCATTCTGACCTGTGTGAGGTGGTATCTCATTGTGGTTTTAATTTGCACCTCTATGATGGTTAGTGATGTTGAGCATCTTTTCATATGCCTATGGGCCCTCTGTATGTCCTCCTTGGGGAAGTGTTTGTTCAGGTCTTTTGCCCATTTTAAATTTGGATTGTTTGTCTTTCTGTTGTTCAGTTGTATGGGTTCTGTATGTATTTTGGAGATCAAACCCTCATCCGAGGTATCATTGGAAAATATGTTTTCCCATATGGTCAGTCACCATTTCATTTTGATGATGGTTACTTTAGCTATGCAGAAGCTTTTAATTTGATGTAGATCCATTTGGTTATTTTTTTCTTTATTTCCCTTACTCTAGGAGATATATCAGCAAAAATATTGTTTAGTAGGGTATCTGAAATTTTACTGCCTATGTTTTCTGCTAGGACTTCTATGGTATCATGACTATGTTCAAGTCTCTTATCTATTTTGAGTTTATTCTGGTGTATGGTATGAGTCAGTGGTCTTGTTTTATTGTTTTGCATGTACCTATTGACTTCTCCTAACACCATTTATTGAAGAGGCTATTTTTACTTAATGATTTCAGTTTTCTTGAGTTTGTTAATGCTTGATTTGTGTCCTATCATGTGGTCTGTCTTTGAATGATCCATGTGCACTTTAGAAGAATGTATATTTTGTTTCTTTTGGGTAAAATGCTCTAGAATATCGGTTAAGTTCATTTGATCTAGAGTGCCACTCAGTTCTGCAATATTTTGTTGATTTTTTTAATTGGAAGATCTATCTTTTGTTGAAAGTGGGGTGTTAAAATCCCCTATAGTGATTGTATTGTGGTCTATCTCTTTCTTAAAGTCCTCCAATATTTACTTTTTTATTTAGGTGCACCTACATTGGATGCATATATGTTTGCAAGAGTTCTATCCTCTTCGTGGACTACTCCCTTATTTAGTGACCTTCTTCAGGCCTTTGATTTGAAGTCTATTTGTTCTCATATAAGTATTAATATCCCAGCTTTTTTTTTTATTTCCATTTGCATGAAATGTTTTTTTCCTATCCCTTCACTTTCAGCCCGTGTACATCTTTTGTTCTAAGGTGGGTCTCTTATAGACAGCATATACGCAGATGATATTTTCTTATCCATTCAGCTACACTGTATATTTTGATTGGAGCATTTAATCCATTTACATTTATGGTTATTATTGATAGGTACTTGTTCATTGCCATTTTTCTCTCTATATACTTCTTCTTCTTAAAGAAGAGCCTTTAGCATCTCTTGCAGTACTAGATTGCTGGAGACGTACTCTTTTAGCCCTCTTTTGTCTAGGAAGCTCTTCATTTTGCCTTCCATTTTAAATAGAGCCTTGTTAGATAGTGTAGTCTTTGCTGCAGATCCTTGCTTTTCATTACTTGGAATATTTCATGCCAATGTTTTATAGTGTTTCTGTTGAGAAATCAGCTGATAGCCTTATCAGAGCTCCTTTGCATGTTACTAGTTGTTTCTCCCTTGTTGCCTTTAAGATTTTTAGTTTTCATATAAGTGGTTAATTAGGGAAGGATATGATACAAACTGAATTACAAATAGCTAAGAATTTACTTTCTATGTTTATTATAATAAAAGATGCCATTTAGAGATTTATCTTTAGTTTTATTTAATATGGAAAATGCTGTCCATAACAATTTACTTTCTGTAATCTCTCTTGGATAATAAACATTTTCATTTAAAACTAAGAAATTCACACTTTAAGTTATTCTTAACACTTAAAGTGTCAAGTTACGATTAACACTTTTTATAAGATTTATGAGCTCACATTCTGCACTTTAGTCATTTCTTTAGATGGACAATCACTTTTAAATATTTTTAAATAAAAACAATAATTCTAGGAAATAAAACCAATTCTACTATCAAATTTAATTTATGCTTGGGAAACATGATGGCTCACAATAAATTTGAATCTAGGTTTACAAATCACACAAATGAGAATTTCTCTTCTTGTATTTAAGTAATTTTATACTGTAAACACCATATGTAGCATTTCCCCTGTTTCTTACCTGTGTATGATGCATAATAGGAAAGCATGAAATTAATAATTTAATAAAAGTAATTATTCATAAAATATTGACTGAAATGAAATAAAACAGAGAATGATGCTAAGGAAAAAAATCATGTCAAAGATTGTTAAATCTAGAAGGGTAGAGAGAACATTTCAAAAAATGTTTGAGAATTGGCTCCTTAAATTGGCATCACCATCTAGGGTTTACTTAGGATTTACTTACTTATTTAGGGTTCAATTTCCTCAAGGTTGTTTTGGTTTACACATTCCTAACTATGCAAAACTATTTTCGTTTTGAATTTGTTCAGGCAGATTGGGCAGTTTTTTTGCATGATTGATTTTATAGGAAGGACTGGTGTGTTTTAAATTTTTTCCCCCACAGTGCGTTGGCTTGAAATTCTTCTGTTATTGAGTTCAAAGTGTTTACCTGTACATGGCAGGAGGAAACAGGACCTTTCTCTGCGTAGTCAATGTTACATGGGATTCAGGCTTCATTATTTTGAAAAGACAAAGAAACGCCTGTGGTTTGATGATGGATTCAAAATAAAACAAGACAAAATGTGAAGAGACACAAAGAAAAATTTAAAATAATGATAGCTATTATTTCTAACAGTATATAATAAAAAATGAATACCATCAATTGGGAGAAAAAAGTATTTGTTGACATTTTACTCCTTATATTCAGGATTCTCAATGGAACAAAAGATTGTCTTCTTTTGTGAAAATCTTTCACAATCTTTAGCACCTTCAGATAAGCCTCACCCTATGTGGTGTGGCTTAGTGGACTGAGTGCCAGCCTGCAAACAAAAGGGTTGACTGCTCAGTTCCCAGTTAGGGAACATGCCTAGGTTTGGGGCCAGCTCCCCAGTAGGGGATGTGTGAGGAGCAACCACACATTAATGTTTCTCTCCCTCTCTTCCTCCCTCCCTTACCCTTCTGTCTAAAAATAAGTAAATAAAGTCTTTAAAAAAAGAAAAGCCTCCTCAGCTTACTGTTTCCATTATCAGGATGAATGGATGCCCTCATCTACGGAAAAATGTCATGGAAAAATGACAGTAATTATGCAACCAAACATCACAACAAATTTTCTCTGAGGAATCAGAAAGCTATGGTTATGACAAGAAAGACTGTATGGTACATAATAAAAAGCAGCAGAAAGATGATCACTGCCTTATAGGATTCACAAGTAGGCCTCTGTGATGGAGCCCTGTACACTGAGGCATGAAGTTTCATCTGCCTAGTGTCTTAAGAGGGAGCAAAGTAACAAGAGAAATGAGATCAGGCAAAGAATAAAGGGACCTATAGCCCCCATATTCTGGGTAATCTCTTTGAAAGGATTTGGGATTTTACTCACTTTGAATTTCCAAGTTATATTTTCTTCAGAATTGACCTTGAAGTGACAGCAGGAGTCCTCAGTCAATGAAGCACTAATAATTAAAGAAATAAGAAAGAAAATCAGAAGAATCCCAAGGATGACTATTGAACTTTAGCTTCAGCCAGAGGAAAAATGAGTGGGATATATCCACTATCCTGAGTAAATAGAAGACTTTTAGGTGAGAGGTAAACCAGACACTTGAATGATGTGAATGAACACATAAAACATTCAAAGTGTTCATTAGCTCACCTTGGGCATATGTATCTGAAGAGAGCAGCATAACAAAGCCATATAAAAATATTACACACAACAAACAGATTCTGGAGATGGCTACACTGACCAGGATGATGTCAATCAAAGAGCTATCTTTCCTTCTGAGCCAGTGCAGTTAAGCAGTACAAAAAATCCATTTCCTCAAATTCCTACAGTCAATTAAAATCATATACATTGCCTCCATTGTAGTTGGCATGTCAGCAGAGTTCTCATTTTGAATATCACTGATGACGAATTGACTTTCAGCTGAACAGTGAAGAATGGTATGTGTCTGACACTTAGGATATGATGCAGCTGTCTTTGTCTATCTCCTTTTTCAGCTGTGATCCAGGTCAAGGAGAGTTCTGCTCTAGGGTAGAACTGCCTAAGAATTCACTAATGGAGGCCAGTGATTTCATTGTGTGAAGTGATGATTGAAAGACTTTAAAATGCAAATAGGAATTTGTTGGATTCGCACAGTCTTTCTCCTTTTAAGCTTGGCATATTTTCAATTAATCGGTCTAGGCAAGCTGTTGACCAGAAACTTCAAGAAGGAATAAATTCCTTGGAAAATTAAGCTAAAATTTAATTTGGAGATGTGGCATCATTACCATCTCTAAACACTTGAGAAGTACCCCTGAACTGTGGTTCATTTTGTACAAATGCAGGTTATGGAGCTTACAAACAACTGTAAATTTAAAGTATAGACAGCTAACAAATATGAGTAATTTTAGCCTCAAAATATTGACTATTAATTAGGATCATTCAGGTACAATACTAGTGGTTTTTGATTTTCTGGAAAAGGCAGCTACTTGACTTCTATCTCTATCACCCTGTCATGTGGAGGACTGAGCACTGAGGATACTCTAGTTGTGCCCATTACTATTTTGTTTGACCTCAGAATATGTATTTGTGTGTAACATTTTAGGGTTAAAATACGAGTGCTATCTTATTTATAATGCTTTTATAATAATGTGTACCCATTTCAAAGACAACACATTTGATCAGATTCATATTACTTGTATACCCTACTTCTGGTTTTATGGTTTAAAACACATAGCATATAGATGCATAAAACAATAACTCAAACTATACTGGCACTCTCTAGCATTGGTTTGGCCAAAAAGTCCATGTTGTTTTCCATAAAATAAAAGACATATTTTAAATGTTCACCAGTAACTTTATTGATTTGGATATTTTGGGTATGTTGGCTATTTCTCATGAGGTGTAACATTGATCATTCTCAATTAATGTCTTAATTTGATCACTATCACCTTCAACTGGTCTACCCAACTGTGGAGCATCATCCAATGAGAAGTCTCCAGCATGAGATTTTACACATCACTTTTGACACATTTGATCGGTCACAGCACCTTCTCCACACTCTGCACAAATCTTTTGTTGCATTTCAGTTGCATTTTTACCTTTCTTGAAATAAAAAGCATAATATGTCAAAAATGTTTTATATTTTCTTCCATCTTCAATATTAAAATGGCTACACAAAAATTCACCAGTTTTGCCCTGGCTGGTGTGGCTCAGTAAATTGAGCTCTGGCTTGTGAACCAAAGGGTCACCAGCTTGATTCCCAGTCAGAGCACATGCCTGGGTTACAGGCCAGGTCCCTAGTAGGGGACGAATGAGAGGCAACCACACATTGATGTTTCTCTCCCTCCCCTCCCCACTCTCTAAAAATAAATAAACAAATACATCTTTTAAAAATTCGCCAATTTTAATGTGCTTTTTAAAATGCACACTGATATGACAGCTGTCACAATACAATCTAACAAAATTGTGAATAAAATTAAAGATAACAAAGTGCTACTAGAGCCATCTTAAGGAAAAAAAACAAATGAACTTTTAGGCTAACCCTGTATTTCACCAACTTAACATATAAGCTGGAGTCTTTAAGGTTTTGCTTTAACTGGAGGTGCTGCCCTGTCAGAGGGAAAACATTTGATTTGATGACTCAAGCAAATGCCCCATATCATTTGCACATGTATTTTAAGAATATTGGTAATAACAGACAGTGAGTATAGGAAATTGAGATTAAAGAGTCCCACCCATTAGGTGGCATTAGGAGTCAAATATCTTTTCATATATTTAAGAGCCATTTGAATTTATTTTTTGTCAGTTGTTCATATTCTTTGCTCATTTTTCTACCTTTTTGTGAATTTCTACATTTTTATATTTTAGAAAGATTGACACTTTTTCATTGTGAATTGACAACATTTTCCCAGTTCTTTATTTGTCTTTAGCTTTTTCTTGTATTTTCTAAATGCAAACAGAAGTTATAAAAGTTTGTATAGTTTTTATTTATCAGTCTCTTCTATTATGACTTCTGGGTTTTGATTTCTAGTTAGAAAAGTCTTTTCCATTAAATTTTTCCTGTAATTTTCTCTATTGCTCTCATGGTTTGCATTTTTAAAAAATTAATGCTGTATATACTGTATATATGTATAGCCAAGTATGAATCCAACTTTATTTTGCTATAGATGGCTATTTGTTCCAACTTGCTAGTTTATCTTGTTCCCTTTGCTTTGAGATAGAGTATTTATTTAAATAATAGTTTTCCTTATGTATCTGTGAACCAAGGGGCTGTTGCTCTTGACCCTTGTTGTATTCATCACTAAAAGGGCTGGGAGTGGTGTGGCTATTTCTAACTGCATAGGAGAATTTATGACAATTTGAGATTTTAAGTATTCAGCTAGTGACAGAAAATCAATGATCTTCTGTGGTGGTCCTGAAAAATTCTCTTACATTGTTAAAGCTGTAAGTCAGATCTAAAAGTTAATTGTGTACATAAGAGAATTACTATATAAAATGTATTCACAGATTATCAAGTCTCACCAAATAAAGCTTAGAGCAATGATGGCAAAACAGTAAGACCTCAACACTGGGCATGACAAAAATGTATGTGGACTTGGATAAATAAGGCTAAGAACTTTAAACTCCTTTTGTAATTAAAGCAGTCTAGCAATGCATGTCAGAGGAATTACCCTTGCTTTGCTTGAAGACCCTATAGTAACCTCACCTTGGAAACTTGCCATGTAAGGGATGTTTATTTTCTTCAAGATCCACTTCAACCCCCACTTATTAACCCTAGACCAATTACCAAAGTCACACTTTAGCATGCTCCAGGTAATAGAGGGGAAAAGGAAGGGTAGGCAGGCAGTTACAAAGTCTGACTAAAAAGTAAAACATTTGTTCTCCAAAAGAACTGCAAGATTTTGCTCAATTGTAATGTTAATGACAATCACTGGAAGAATACACATGAGAACGGGCTCTAAAAGATTGAGAACAAAGAGGACAGAATTTAACACTGAACCTGGGGCAACATATTGATAAAGCTGCCCTTTCATAGATGCTGTGTTTAATGTGTTAACTTGTGAAGCCACCTTTAATAGTTAACCTGCTTGGTAGTCTAAAGCTTGAAATACATTCTTATTTACATTAAATGAAATTTAAGGACAGAACTGGCAGAATATAGAGAAAAGAATCTAACAACTTAAGAAGACAGGAATATTAAAGTGAATTTAGCACATGTAACTTTACATTTTCTTCCCATTCTGTGAACTGAAAGGATCAAAAGTACAGGCCATTTACTAAGGCAATGAGAAATACATTATTGAGGGAATTACCTGTATCTTTGAAAAGCTCTGTAGAATCTGTCTTCTCAACAGAATGTGTGAGAATGGTAGATGTTTGAGAGGAGTTTCCTAGTTATGATGAGGATGATGCAGTCGTGAAGGACCGGTGCCTAAACTATAGATGCAAAATGGAAACAAACGCTACACTGAACAGTAAGGACCCAGCGGTGATTAGAATACTTTAACCCTCAACTAGTTTTGGTGGCATCTAATTGTTCATAAGGTCTTTAATAATGAAAGAGATGGGCACCCTATTATAATCCTAGTTTATTTTTGTAACAAGAGAAATTCTGCACGTGGACACCGAAAAACTGACTCGAGTTGCCATAAGAGAAAGGCGTGGATTTCACCTGCTTTTTCATCTTAAGCCAGTTTACAAATTGGCCCCTTGCCTCCTCCAAAATGTATAAATAACTGATTTTAAATTTAAAAAAATTAGATAACACAATAGTAAAATAGTTTATTAAAAATGGGCAAATATAGGCCCTGGCTGGTGTAGCTCAGTAGATTGAGTGCAATCCTGCAAACCAAAGGATGGAGGTTCGATTCCCAGTCAGGGCACATGCCTGAATTGCAGGCCAGTTCCCAGCAGGGGATGCACAAGAGGCAACCCTACATTGATATTTCTCTCCCTCTCTCCTTCCCTTCTCTTCTAAAGATAAATAAATAAAATCTTTTTTTAAAAAAAATGCCTGTTTTAAAAAATATGGGCAAATATAAATAGTTTTCCAAAGAAGACACATGGATGGCCAACAGATTAATGAATAGATGTCCAACGTTGTTTAATCATGAGGAAAAAGCAAATCAAAACCACAAGCTATCACTTCACATCTGTTAGAACAGCTATTATCAAAAAAAATAAGAAATACTAAAGTTGGAGAGAGTGTGGTGAAAAGGGAAACTTTGTGCACCGGTGGTTGGAATGTAAATTGGTGAAGTCACTATAAAAAAGGGTACAAGAGGGGGGGGGGGGGGGCCGGGGGGGAAGAAAAAAAAAAAAAGTGTACTTGAAAAGTAACTAAAAAAAAAAAAAAAAAAAAAAAAAGGGTGCGGAGGTTCCTCAAAAAATTAAAAATACAACTATCATATTATTCTGCAATTCTACTTCTGGGTATTTATCCAAAGCAAACAATCCCTGTCTTCATCACAGCATTTTTTTTACAATAGCCAAGATATGGAAATAACCTAAGTGTCTGTTGACAGATGAATGGATAAAGAAAATGTAGTTTTTATTTATATGTATAATATTTTATCGTGTATATATGTATATAAATACAATATGGACTATTACTCAATTATAAAGAATGAACCTTGCCATTTGCGACAATATGGATAAAACCTGAGGACATAGTGCCAAGTGAAATAAATCAGTTAGAGAAAGACAAATACTATTTCATATCTATTGTATGTGAAATCAGAAAAAAAATCTGAAGAACAAAACAAGAAAAAATCAAGCTCTTAGATCTACAGAACAGACTGCTGGTGGCTAGAGGTGGGTGTGGGGATAGAAAAAATGAGTGAAGGGGTATTAAATGTTTTTAAAATAATAATAAAAATAAAAGTATGCTCC